GTATGAGGGTAATAAAATACTTCTTTCTCAATAATCACCTAATTATTGTGCAACTTGAATTTATTCAACTCAAGACTAAATTTGTATTCTCTTGGCCTAACTATTCAAATAAAGGATGAAACATACCTAGTGAGAGAAAGATGAAACATAATATATAATTGTAATATAAAAATACCCACGGTGATGGTTATGGAAGTCTGGTAACTCTGTGCCCAGGATACCAAACAACTCGAAAGGAAACTTAAATTTCAGTTAAGAAGCCAGTTATAATTTGCCTTGCATGCCAGAGAACTTCAAAGACCTTGCTGATTCTTATACCAACCATCATGATTTTTCAAGTGGAGTAGCTGAAGGTTCAAATTTGGTTTGATGAACCCCTTGCTTCTCCTTGGCTAAGAAAGAAACAAAATTGCCAACGAGGCAAGTTACATGATGCAAATCTCTTCCAAATGTTCTTTGGCAGAGAAAACAGGGGTCAGCCAAAGAAGCATCAATTCCTCTGTGAAAAGCTGGGGCACTGGTATCCTGAGAGGGCTACTTCCACCTCCTGTCTGGGTACTAGATCCCAAGCGCTCTCATTCCAGGTATGGCTGCCTCATGAAACAGTGGAGGTTTACCTGACTGAGCTTGAGGGTTTCATGTGAGCAGCAATGAGAACAAGGAACAAATAGTAGAGATATTGAAGCTGACATGTAATTATTATAAACATTTTCGTTTTCAAAATGAAATACTTCTTTTTTAAAAAATAATAAATTTCCTAAAAAATAATAATAATAAATTTCCTGTCAAGAGGACCTGGATGAAAGACAGCAAAACAAAGAACAGAAATAGTATTTAATGTACTGGATCACTTTCTGCACCATGCTTTCCCAGGCTCGATTTCACCAGAGAAGAGCCACAGACACCAAAATTCAGAGCCAAAAAATTCTGTGAGACCCCTGTGTAGAGTGATATAAGAGTTTCACTAAAATACAATACTTCTTTAAGTCCCATCATTCGCTTGTGGGACACTCCACTTGGCTTCTGCATAACAGGTATCAAGGAAGGTTCATAGCTGACTCATTATCAAGGTAGGAGCCACCCCTAAAAACAAGGATGTCAGAATCCTCATCCTCACATATGGCTTCATGAAGACACCAAGACCCTCTCCAGTATTTGATGAGTATCTCCACAAGCACTGCAAATTCAGGTACCTCCTGAACCAAGACAAACCATATTTTCTTTATTTTATTTTGTGATCTTTACCTCAACTGGCCTCCACTCTGGGCAACCTGGATCCCTTCATCTTTGATCCTTTCAGTCAGTGCCTTTCCTACCCTTTCTGTATTTAGAACAAGCCAGATTTTTATCATCTACTAAATCTATATTTGACTGGATCAACATTTAAATGGGCTGCCTACACTACACATTTCAAATTTTTATTGTTACATTTGATCTAATCTAATAGGCATAACTGTATTTTACTTAAGGCCCTGTGCTTAAAAATATAGAAAAATGATACAGAGGTAGTTAAATCTTTCAGAGTTCTTCTCCTTGTGATATGGAATTAGCAATACATACCTACTTATTCTAGGGAAACTGCTGGAGAATTTTGTATAATCAAGGGATACAATACATCAGGCTTCCTCCTGACTATCCACCTGAGAAATTGTTGGGATGCATCACTAAGCCAGAATCTACCCATTTACTTCCACTTAAGTATTTGATAAGAGAACTCTAGTATCGCTTTTATTTAGTGATATTTGCAGATTTATCCTAGTGTCAAAGCACTTGATGATAGAGTCATGCTGTACTGATAATTGCTGAAACTACGACTATGCTTTTGCAACCATAATAAATAAAAGACAAATGCTAAGCTTAATTATAATGTTTTTCAATTTTATGAATTTTATGAAATTTTATGAATTTTATGAATTTTATGAAAATTTTCAATTTTCAATTTCAATTTTTTATAGCTTTATTTTATAGGTGAAGTTTGAGATTAATATTTAAGAAATTTTGCTGAGGTTTCACTTATGTGAGGACTTTAAAGAAATATTAGTTTAAAAATAAATCCCAGAGACTTCCCTGGTGGTCCAGTGGTCAAGACTCTGTGCTTTCAATGCAGTGGGCGCAGGTTCAATCCCTGGTTGGGGAACTAAGATCCCACATGCTGCGCGGCACAGCCCAAAATAAATAAATAAACAAATCCCCAAATTCTAGCAATGTAAGTATTGCTCCAATTTAAGAAATTTTAACCTTATAAGAGTCTATTGTTCCAATTTCTTATGATTCAGAGACTTATGAGATTATTTTCTTCAGTCAGATTCATTATTCAACATGAAGGTACGTTTAAATTTGGGCTAGACATCAACCCTGAATCACATGATACTGGTGGCACTGCATAGCAAGAGCACAGTTTGAATGTGATGTCTAATCTTCCATGAAGTTCTAAGGTTCTTGCTCTGTACGGGAAAGGGCACTTTTAAACGCAATTTCCAGGCCCTTGAGAGTACTTTTGCTGCTTATTTTCAGTGTGATCTAAGCAAAATCACTTCACCTTTCCAAACCTTGGTATCCTTCCCATCATGGAAATGGTACCAGTGCTTGCTTCACAGAGCCTAGACCCAAAACTAAGTTTATTTGATCGTAGAACTCTTAACTGCTACACCAAGCAGAATGAATGATGCTTCCTGCCTCCTGGTATACACACATTTCACATTTTGTAATCATGATGATGATGAAAATCACTGTGAGGATCATAATTGTTATAAATATGATCCTCTTTTAATATTTTTTTCAAAATTGGAGAAAAAAGCAAAAACTGCAAAAATAAAATTTGTATATGGATAACAAAATACTGCCCAAAGAAATTCAGGGCATAAATAAATTATTAATAGATTGCTGCTAACAAGATTTTTAATTAGCACTCAGGGAAAATAAAGAGCGAGAACCTGAAGGTACTCATTACTCTACCTGGGCTTTCTATGAGAAGGGTGGGATTAAAAAAAATCTATTGCAGATTTTTCAAATTGTGGTTTTATTCTGACACCTCTCTGCTGGCTAAGCCTCAGATGAAGAGATGTGCAAGGAAGGAGGGCAAAACGCCGACTTATATTAAACAGCTCGGTTTTGTAGCATATTTCAGGAAAAGCACAGATTGAGAAAAGACAGTTATAAGAAAAGCAAAATGTGGAGATATAGCATTTGCTTAATCATGTAAAAGTCTAAACATTAACTAAAATTAACATTAATTAAGAAATATAATCCCACCTCCCTCATGAGAGCAGCTGGCTTACTGGAAGAAAAAGACAACTACCAATTCTACTACCTTCTAGCACCTTCTCTAGTCTCTAGTCAGCTTCTCTCAGAATTCCTTCAGGAATTCTGCCCAAGAGAGAAGTCAAGATATGGGTTCACTGCAAATCCTTACTTAAACGAGTACTTAATAACAGCTCTACTGATATATGTTTGCTTATTTCCCTTTTACTTCAAAATCTCTTCTGAGGTTTTCCCTGATTCCCCCTTATTCCAAGAAGAAAAAGAACCGCCGCATTTATCGAGGACTTACTAAGTGCTGGCTCCCAGGCTATATAACATGTATTATATACACATGTAATAACATGTATATATAATACATGTATTATATATACATGCAATAACAAGTATTTTACATACATGTAACAACATGTATTATCTCAAAACATTTCTCTTATCTCCTGCCTATTTTCATTCAAATCCCAACAGAAAACCTCTCACACAGTACATCTTAAAACAACAATAATACATTACCCTAAAAACTCATTAAGATATGAATTTTTATCCATATCTTGCAAAGGGCTCAGAGAACCTCAGTCAACTGTCTAAGGTCACAACATAACTACCAAGTGTTTGAACCTGAAATTGAACCTATGTCCTCAAATACCGCAGTCCCACTACACCACGGCTGCTTCACCCCAAGAGTGGCACACTCTCTAAAGACAAGTATTAATTTTAAAGACAGCCAAAAGCACAGTGAATAAAATTATATTTTGAAAGTTAATTGAACATTTTTTCATGTACCTAGAAGGTGTTAGTATTATTAAAGTCAGTGATCAAAGTGGTATACAGTTTATAGTAATAAAAATTATCATCATAAAACACAGTTATAAAATACTGAGGCAGAGTTTCTTGTGTGGCTTGTGAGGCCTGACCCAAAGAGGAATGTTCCCCAAACTGATTTAAAGATTGGCACTTGTCTGATGGGTGTTCTGACAAAGTGATCATTTCAAAGGATAGCTGCTTGTTCCTATGAGTGCTGATACAATGACAATGAAAATCAATGTTCTCAACTTCCTATTGTAGCCCATGCATACTACACTATAATAATCATATGTGATATATAATATAGATAATGTAAATATAAATAATATATAATGTAATATATATATTCATACAGTGACATAAACTACATCTTAATATATTTTATGAAATCATCCTGAAGACTCATTAAGGACTTAAAAAAGAATTAAGTTGAAAGATACGGACATAACAACATAAGTAGACGTTTGCCTATCTGGTGTCAAATAATGTTTTACTGTTTTCTACCATTAAATTGAATGAATCAAGTGAAAATCGAATTCTTTTCAAAAAAGTAGTGATGAAGTCTAAAGTCTAAAATATAACAATTCTGTCTTGCTTATTATGGGATACTCTCAAGAAACCACAATTATCATAACATGGATTTTGTAAATTCAAAAGTTGCAGATAGTTTTTGCCATCGAGTGAAAAGAATATAAAACAAATACAGGGGGAAATATTACCTGTTTTAGGCAATTAATGGACACTGTGTAGTTTAAATTCACTAAAAGTAGTTAGGACGTTCAAAGTATGGTGGGGGAAAAAAAAAGACAGGAGATCCAGCCAAGGAAATTAAGTGTTAGTGTGAGAAAATGAAATGTTACAGACATGAAAAAATATTTTCATCAGGAAGGAAAAACTGGTCTTGTCTACATAATCAGGAGGAAATGTCTATGATTTACCAGTTGCTGTTTTCTCTTCTCTCCCTCTTAGGGGGGTTTTTGCCTCTTCTGGTGCAATGGTTCTTGTGGTTGGGTCAAACATACGAGACTGGAAAAGGACATGAGAAGTTCAAAGTCAGGACTCTCTCTTTGACAAAAAGGGAGATCAGTCCACCATCTCCTTGAAATCTGCTCCTTTTTCACCCCTAAGAAGAGAAGCCGGTGGAGAACTGGCTTCCTAAATTGTTTTAAATTATGAAAGAAGTTCTTTGAACTTCTTGAAGAAGAAGTTCTTCAACCTTCTCTCTATAAAGAATATTTAATGGGGCTATACTAACAACTTGTAATTACTAGTTCTTTGCCAGGAGGTGGATGAAACAATTACAGGGAAGAGTTTAATAAATTGTCTCTCAATGACCCAAACTACTCCTCTGCCTAGAGATTATGGGGACAGATTATAAAGTATTTTGGAAGTCAGGAAAGGAGGGTTAGATCCCAGGCAACTGAAAGTCAGTTTTTGATCAAGGGAGTTAGAGGGGAGATATTTGTGGCATAGAATGTCCTAGAGAGGGGAGAAACTACCTAGGAGGTAATTCAGGCAGAACGCATCGAAAACCTTGATTTCAATTGTAGCACTGGTTGAGAAAATACCAAAGTTGTTTGAAAGGAAAAAATCAACATAATTTGACAAAGCTGATCCATGGGGTGTTCTGAGCTGTAATAAATCATACGATGAGAATTCCAGTACTTTCCGTACTACTGAATTATTTTTATATTTTGTAAAGTCTAACAAATGGTAATTTTAAAGAGAGAAAAGGTAACATAAGGAAAAATGTGTCCAAGATGTGAAAGAGAGATGTGGAGATGGAAAGAAAAGTTTATGAGCTGGCCAAACAGGCAAAGCTTCAGGCTTTGTTTTAGTTTGTTTTAGTTTTTAATTCTTTTTGTTTGTCTTTTTTTTAATTGATGTAATTGCCATATTAGCATTGTATTAGTTTGTGTACAATGTAAGGATTTAATATATGTATATATTGTGTAGAGTGGCCACTGAAACCTAAAGGGGGTCCTATATCTGGTTCTATTCTTAGCCTGGAAAGTGAGGGAGAAAAATGAGTCCAAAATGTCTCCAAGAAAGCTAAAGAAATCCTTTCAGAATGTGATGCTGGTTTGGGTGGGAAAATGATAACCTGAGTTTGAGGGAGTGGTGAGAAATACACACACAGCAATGCCCAGTAAGGAGACAGCAGAAAATACAGACCTGGAATTTGGGGTAGCAGTTAGGACAGGTATTTCTGATTTTAATGTCACTGGCATAAAAGTAGTATTTGAAGCAATGAGAACAAAACTTGAAATCAATTAGAAACACAGCATGATTATTCTTTTATTAAGTATTAAGGTGGAATAGGAGTGGGAAAAGGCTACACAAGGGCAGAGACAGCAGGATGGGACAGTGAGAAAGTCCCTGTTTGTCCCCGCCGACCACAAGACACTGGCTGGTCTGAGCAGCTATAGTTAGGACTTGAAGCAAATTATTTAACTCTCTTATCATTGGGAATTAACTTAATTGATGACTTAATTTACTGTGGGTATTAAATGAAACATATGTAAAATTGCTTTAAGTTTTAAAACCTACAACCACAATGTAAATCAAATTCCAACTGCAGACTTAATGGAAGAATGTCCCATTGTCATCACCCCTACATTCTCTGCTGTGATTTTCTTTCTTTGCAGGAATACTTACAGTCTTCCTACAGTGGTCCTGCACCTTCTCATCTCTGATCTCACCTCCCATCTCATATCTTGATTTCCTTCCCAACTGTAACTTCCTCTTTCTAGTTCTACACTCTGTTTTACCTACATTCCAATGGCTTCACTCTGCCCTCAGCCAGACTCACACTTCTGCCTCCAGAAAAGATAGAGGTGAGATCTGAGTGCAACTTAACCATGTTTTTATTTAATTACACCAATATCTGATTTGCAATAACTATATTCTGGATAGAGTTACTAAGGATGTTTCCAGGTTCAAGAATCTTATCTGTCAGATTTTGTGTGCGTGTGCGTGTGTGATTTTCTGAATGCTAATTCTCATTTTATGGACGTGGCCCTAAATACTTCTCTCACAATGCATAAATGAAGTTGAATGCCTTTTGGTTAATTTCTAGTGTCTCTTGGGCATTTTTGTAACCTCCAGGAGAACTGGAAACAGCCAGTAAAATTCTTACTTTAAGACAGCATGGTATCCAGGGAAACAGTGCCACAAGCTTTGGAAACACCAAGAGCTGGATTCAGAACCCAACCCAGCCCAGACCACTTAAAAGCAGCAAAAAATTGAACATGTTATGTAACCTCTGCAGGACTTGATTTGTGAAGACATAGGAAGCAATGGTTTCTACCTTATAAAATTACTCTGCGGATTCAGAGTAATCCTATCTCTGAATCCGCGGAGATAGGATTCTGCGGAGCTATCGTAGGCAAAGCACTATCACCCAGTGCTTGGTATAAAGTAGGTGCTTAATAAATATCGGTTGAAAAAATGAATGTCATCATCCTTCCCAATCATCCCATCAGAAAGCCTAACAGAGTGCTAAAGGCACTGAAATGTCCATCAGACTGGAGGGGGCCTTAATGAAGTCTGGTTCAGCAGCAGCTTAATAAAAACTTGTCAATTTATTGGCTGCAACAAGTGATTTCTAAAGGTTAACATATCCTTTTTTAAAAACTCCATTATCATTTGGAATAAAGATAAATGTTTGATATGATTTTATACTTTAATTTCTTGAGCCATAGAATAGTTCAAGTATCTCAGGGATTTAATCTACTTTTTAATATCAGAAAGTATTTATGACTTTATTTTTATTTTTTTATAAATTTATTTTGGGCTGTGCTTGGTCTTCATTGCTGCTTGCAGGCTTTCTCTAGTTGTGGCGAGCGGGGGCTACTCTTCGTTGTGGTGTGCAGGCTTCTCATTGCGGTGGCTTATCTTGTTGTGGAGCACGGGCTCTAGGTGCACGGGCTTCAGTAGTTGCGGCACGCCGGCTCCGTAGTTGTGGCTTGCGGGCTCTAGAGCGCAGGCTCAGTAGTTGTGGCTCACGGGCTTAGCTGCTCCACGGCATGTGGGATATTCCCAGACCAGGAATCGAACCTATGTCCCCTGCATTGGCAGGCAGATTCTTAACCACTGCACCACCAGGGAAGCCCCATGACTTTCAAATAACAATGAAAAATGAACCTTTGCATGGTTCCTATTATGTCACACGGAAAATTCAACTTTTTTTCCATGTGAATTTTCTACTCTCATTTCTGGCTGACTAGTTAGATAACTCTATAAGACTAGGAACCATATCCTTTTAATGTAAACTTTGATTGTTTTTCTTTATTTACTTGCCTGTTACCTCTGGAAACAAAGATGGGAAGGGAATTATCTCCCTCTCCCAACTCAGCTCTTTCAAAAGCTGATACGGAAAGTTTTCAGCCTGTCCCTTAGAGGGTAAATACTGCAAATTCTAGAAAATGCTACTGTAGATAAGCTTTGATTCAAAATTTCTGGAGAAAACTTTTTCTTTAAAATTTTGGGGGTTTTCCTGCTTTTTTTTTTAACCTTTCTCTAATCTAGAGTGTATCTTACCCTTTGGGACTTTTTCAAATATATAAACTCTTGCTAAGTCGATCAATACGCCTGAAGAGCAGTAATTAAAAATATACTCAAGCTTCTAGTGGTTTTGTAGTAATCACCTAAGTATCCGGAGGGGATCTAACATTCCAGAAGCTTCATTCCTATTCTAGGTATTAGTCCTTGAGCCTTCAGATCAGATAATCAGTGACTCTGATGTTTCCTAACCATGAAAGAATCTTTAATTTGAGTGCAATTGGATAGTTAATAAAGAACACTAAAGCAAGTTTAAAGTTAAAATTTCAGTACATGGTACCAATTAAAAAATTAATAAAGCTCCTACTATGACAGCCCACTTTGCTGTTACAACCACTTGAGATTTTATTAGATTCCTAAAATCAGATAGCCCTCAACACACAATGGTTAACACACTAGTTGAATTTCACTTCCCAAATCTTGCTGAACATCAATTTCCAAATCTATAAAATGGGGATAATGATTCAAGTCCATGGGTTTGTTGTAAGGGTGAAACACAAGCCTAGCACAGGCTCACATGGTGCAGTGCCTAGCACCCAGTAGGTTCTCTTCCGTTTTCCATTCTGTTTATACATATCTGTACAAAATCATACAGGATTAACTGAAATGGAGTTTATAAAAGAAGACCTAGTTTACTCTATATTTTTGTGCAGATATTGACTGTATAGGCATAATACAAATTGGATAGCAACATTATTCATAATAGCCAAGAGGTGGAAACAACCTAAATGTCCATCAACAGATGAATGGATAAAGAAGATGTGGTACGTTTATATAATGGAATACTACTCAACCATAAAAAAGAACAAAATAATGCCATTTGCAACAATATGGATGCAACTACAGATAATCATACTAAGTGAAGTCAGTCAGAAAGAGAAAGACAGGGACTTCCCTAGTGGTGCAGTGGCTAAGAATCCGCCTGCCAATGCAGGAGACATGGGTTCAATCCCTGGTCCGGGAAGATCCCACATGCCATGGAGTAACTAAGTCTGTGCGCCACAACTACTGAGGCTGCGTGCCACAACTACTGAAGCCCGTGTGCCTAGAGCCCGTCTCTTGAGCTTCACAACAAGAGAAGCCACCGCAATGAGAATCCCGTGCATCGCAATGAAGAGTAGCCTCCCACTTGCCGCAACTAGAGAAAGCCCGCGTGCAGCAAAAAAGACCCAAAACAGCCAAAAATAAATAAATTTTTAAAAAAAGAAAGACAAATACCATATGATATCACTTATATGTGGAATCTTAAAATATGACACAAATGAACCTATCTATGAAACAGAATCAGGGACACAGCGAATAGCCTGGTGGTTGCCAAGGGGGTGGGGGATTGGTGAGGGTTGGACTGGGAGTTTGGGATTAGCAGATGCAAACTGGTATATATAGAATGGATAAACAGCAAGGTCCTACTGTATAGCACAGTAAACTATATTCAATATCCTGTGATAAACCATAATGGAAAAGAATATGAAAAAGAATGCATATATATGTATAACTGAGTCACTTTGCTGTACAGCAGTAAGTAACACAACACTGTAAATCAACTATACTTCAATTTTAAAAAACTGGGTATAGGCTGGGAAAGTGAATAGCTGGTAATCTTAAAGAGGATTGTAATAGATACTATTTTTCACTTAAGAATTTATTTGAGAGAGAAACTCTGATATACTGGCTAAGCATCATTGGGATTTATCAACCTCAAATGGGTGCTCATTATTGCTCTAAAATCTTACTATGCCCAAAAGTCTCAATCCTATGCTTCCCCATTATTATTCCATACCTTCTATAATATAATCACACCCCGACTTCTCTTCCTCGCCCTTAGCTGATGAATTTCAAAGGCAAGTAGAAACCATCAGGAGGGAGTTCTCTCATCTTCCAGCCATGTCAGTCTTGACCATCCTCTTCTTCCCCTGTTACAGGAAAGGAGTAGAGTCTTTCAAAAGTCAGTATCTCAGCATGTGCCCTACATCTCCATTCCCTCCTGCATTCTTAGGGACCTCATTCCATTCACTATTCTTTTTCTCTCTTATATCTGTAACATTTTCCTTTCTACTGGATTAATTTCCAGAGTAGTTAACTTTGCTCTAATATCTTCCATCCAAGACAACACAAACCCAAACAAAAAACATTACACCTTCCCTTTCCAGCTACTTCCCTGTCTCTCTACACCCTCTACCCAGCCAAGCTTCATGAAGAAGGGACTATTTATGCTGTCATCTTCTTCACCTCCCATTTACTCTTTAACACACTAAATCTGCATTCCACTCTCAACATAGGATAAAAACTGCTCTGCAGCCCATAACTAGTAACTTCTGTATTCTGTATACAGAATGCTGTTCTATAACCAGCAACAGCCAATGGAAACTTTTCAGTCTTTATTTGACTTCTCAACAGCATTTGACAAAACTAACCACTCCTTCTTGAGACACTGTCTTCACTGATTTTCCAGACAGGACATTGTCCTGGTTTTCTGTCTCCTCCTTGGAGGTTCCTTCTCAGTTTTCTTTGCCAGCTAGCCTTCTTTTCTACCCAACCTCTCTCTTTTTTTCTATTCACTGATTTTTATTTTACTTTATTACTTTATGTTATATTATGTTATACTTTATTAAGGTATAATTGACAAATATCTGCCCAGCCTCTTAAGGCAGAAGGTATTTAGAGTTATTTAGGTATTTAGGTATTTCTGCACTCTCTCTGTATACTTTCATGACTTGGCTTCAGAAAATAATGCCATCTGGAATGACCATATATCTATATTTGCATTCCAAATCAGTCTTTGAGCTCCAGACTCCTACACCTGCACATTTAACTTTTCTACTAGAACATTTTATAGGCACCCAAAAATATGGCCAAACCAATCTCTTGACATTCCCCCCAAACCCATTTGAACTCTTCCCTCCTCAGGGGCTTTCCTCCATCTGAATACAATTTTCCACCACTTTACCTGGTTAATGCTTACTTATCCTTTAGGTTTCCTCTTAAAATGTCACTCCTTTAAAAGGCCCTCTGAAACCCTCTTAACTAAATTAGACCATCTTATAGCACCCTACATTTCCCTTCAGAACACATATGATTATTTATAATGACTTATCTATTTGTGATCTTTTTGTTCAACTCTGATTTCTCCTTCTCTTGCTAGGTTAGGTGCACCTGACCGATTCCCTCACCTCCTCAAATCTGCTCAAAGTTTATCTTCTCAGTGAGGCCTTCCCTGACCTCCTATATAGAATTTCAACCCTGCACTCATATCCCCCTAACTTTGCCCCCACCCCAACACTTACGTACTACTAGTATTCCATATAATCTGCTTACTTACATTTATGAAAGTTTGTTTTCTCCCTACTCTAGAATGTAAGCTCCATAAAGATTTCTTGTCTCTTTTGTTCACTGATATGTTCCATATACCTAGCACATGATAGGAAATCAATAAATACCTGTTGAATGAATGACGGGCTGTGTTTGCTTTGCTCCACACTGTATTCCACATTAATCAATTTCTGTGGAATTAAAGTTCAGGTAATATAAAACCTAAGATGAAAAACGGAGCACCACACCATTAACACAGTGCGATCTTGTACTTTGTGAATGAATGAATGTTGAATGAATGCTTTCAAATGAAAAAGGTATATTTAATTTGGAATCTAGAACGTGGCCCGCATCTTTGTTATTGTTTTTTTGTTTGTTTGCTTTCTTCTAAGCACACAGTTAATCCCATCCTTTGTACTCTTTCTTCATATTCTAAGAAATTTTAAGAGATAATACGCGAAGTGGAAGTTACATGAGAGGACAGACATGTTCATCCTCTTCCCTGGTGTCAACTGATGTCTAGCCCCTTCCTAGTACTTAGCAGGAGCCGAAGAAATAATTTATTTATGAATAACCAACCTATCCAACGAATCTGTGCCATCAAGGGAAGGTTAGTGAGCGCCGGGAGCAGTGGAAGAAGCCGGAGATGTGGAATCATCAAGGGGGTGAGCTCTATCCCTGGCTCTACCAACTGACATAATCTGGCAACTTCCCCGGGACTGTTTCTTCATCTGGTAAGAGACTAGATGAAACTAGATAATCCAATTCACCTAAAGCAACCTACTAAAATGCAAACTCCTAGGGAATTCCTTGGCGGTCCAGTGGTTAGGGCTCCAGGCTTCCACTACAGGGAAGTGGTTCAATCCCTGGTTGGGGAACTAAGATCCTGCGAGCCACGCGGCCAGAAAAAGAAAGTAAGCTCCTGGAGGCCAAAGATTGCATTGCATCTCTCTTGTTCACTGATGGGAAAACAAGGCCTTGAGGGATACAGCAGGCCCTCGAGGAATTTGTGGAACTATCTAAAAATTCCCTTCTACTGCTAACATTTTAAGGAAAAAATAACTTTGAGGTATCCTAAATAAATCATTCTTTTTCTAGAGAAAACCATATACAGATTGTCATCCTCTTAGAAATACCCTAGTGCGTGGTGAAAAGAGAATAAATGACTGTTTCCTCCTGGTGAGATGGCTACAGGCATTTACCAGTTTTACATTTTCACTATGACCACTTGGGTTCTTTATATATATATATATATATAATCATATTTATATACTTAGAACTTGATTTGAAACCTTTAGTTCGGGGTGTAAGAACACCGAACTCCTGAGGAACTATGTACTTACACTGTACAACTTCCTACTGGTTCCAGTCTTGTTTGGAGGTCCTTCCCAGTCGTTATGTAGTTTCCGAGACAGAGTGACCTCTTCCCATTTCCCAGCCCCTTCCTTCCTCACCTCCGCCTTCACCCGCCTCGCGCATTCGCAGCTTCCCCCCGGCTGGCCCGACGCCGGGAGAGTTTGAGGAGAGGTTGACCCAGCGCCCCCCGCCCCCGCTGCCACCCCCCGGCAGAGCCCCGCAAACCGCCTCCCCCTGCCAGTTACTGGGGACTGTCGGCTTTCCAACCTACGCTAAAAATGCGCTCTCTTATCGAAAGAAAACCAACTTTACTACCCTAAACGAGGGACCGCTCGTGGGTAATCAATCTACGTGTTTACACTTGTTTTCTAGCCCCGGAGGAGCTGAGGGAATTGATTGGCTCCTTCGAGCTCGCGACGTCCACGCCCCGCCGGGACTCCGCCCCCTCGTGCGGCCATCTGCTTCGCTGTCTGTCTCTCTGTCTCTCGCTCTGCGTCTCTTTCTCTTCCACCACCTCCCTGCCCACCCCCCGTCGGCTCCGCCCCTTCCCACTCCCCCCAGCCTGGGGCTCCGAATCCTCCATGGCCGTTGCCAAGGAGACAAGCCGATACCAGGCAAATAGGCATTCGAGAAAGAAAAAGACGGGAAAGCTACACCGCAGCCTGGTAACAAAGGAGCAATAAAAGCAGCCCCCAAATGGAGGGCTAAGAACACGTCAGGAGAAAATCCAAAAGCGAGCTAGCAATCGCCCCAAGTTTAACCGGGAGGGGGATGCAAAGGAAGGGGCATGATTCACGTTGGGGGTAGGGGGAAATCAACAGCTTAAAAGAGCTTTTGAGAATCGCCTGGATGGTGGTTTTGGATCAGCCCAGTTGGCTTTTCAAGTTGGAACGACGCTAATACAAGGGATTCGTAACCATCGCGGCGGCTGGGGTCTTGGGCCAGGCCAGCGGGCTCCCTTAGGGTGATAACAAGTTTGGCAAGATACACTTCTACGGAAACGTCTTAACGTCGGCTCTGGGGAATATGACTTCGTGATTGAATAATGACGCATCTGAAGAAGTGGACAGTGAGAAGACGAAGCTTCATGTAACGATCTGCAGCTTGGTGATTTTCAAAGCAGTACTTGAACAAAGAGTTATTGGCTGGAATCAACCGTCTTTTTCACTCAGAGTGTGACCCATTTCCCTACAATGAGCAGGAAAATAAAACTTTGAGAATTCAGAGCCAGCACCGGGAGAAGTGAACCTTTCCTCCGACTGCTTCTCACCTCCATAAGCTAAAGATTATTCATTTGAGGATCACTAAATGTAAACGAGAAAAAGTAGTCTGATTTGGACACGGGTGAAAACTTTGGGAGCAAAAATGTAGGTGGTAGGAGAATGCTTATAAGGGTGTATCCTTGATTTTTGCCTCTCCCCCCTCCCCCTCCATTCTTTAAATCAGTGCGCTGTCTTTCGCGCACAAGTAGCGTCTGGTACTTCGGTGGCAAGGGGTGCAGATGGAGGTACACTGGTAGACCTTTTTTCTAACCCAAGTTAGACTTGGAGCGTTCAGGGATGTTCTTGCTATCTCTCAATATGTAATTTCTCCTTAGAACTGTTAATAGTCAATCCGGTTGTTCAGAGTTTCGTCGCGGCTGCCTCCCTCCCTTCCAGGAGCCCACTCGATTGCGTGCACATTCACACATGTTCAGGAAGAAAAGAGTCCCTCCGAAGCTGGCAGTAGGCTGAAAAAGATTCATATCGACGCGAATTGCATCCCAACTGTAAATATGGATTCGTACACTCTAGGCTGTGTCTCATTTCACCACAGAGGAAAAACTGTCATTTCATACAATGATAAAATGCAGACCTTTCCGATCTTTTGTACATGGCCCTCACTTTATATTGTTGGGGGGAAAATCACTAATTGGGAACGGGGAGGGCGGGGGGTTGATGAGCGCCGCAGGCCAATCTCGAAATATTTTATTTCATGCCAGTGTGGGATAGAGAAGGGAGTGTGGCTTCGTCTGCGTGCTGCTTTTGCATTTTCTACATCTGGCCTACAGACCTAATTCTAACTCGCGATCTCGTTTGATGAAATTCGATCTTCTTGGTTTAAATACCTTTCAATTTGGGGCTAATTCACATTTGCAACCGTTAGAAAAACAAACCCTGTGCAGTATCTGTGAAACCAATATGGAACACAGAGACAGAAAACATGCTGCACACATATCCCCACCATTGTCTTAAAAACTCGCATACATACACAGAAACACACGGGAAAGATGGGGGAGGGGAGGGAGGGGAGGGAGACAGACACGGATATAGACCGACCAGAGTCAAAGCGAGTCAAGTTAACGCTTTCTCCGCCCCCATCCACAAGTACCACCCCTCCCGCGTTCATTAATTACAAACAAAGCAAGCCAATCAAGTAATGCATTAGTATTTTCAAGCAGAGGGAGGCGAGAGGCATGTATTTTTTAATTGATTTATTTATTTGGAGGACATTAATTCTCGGTCTGAGGCTGATTTTCAAACCGTTTGCAAAGCGCGGCTCCATTGTTCGCCGGGCGCACAGGCCCCGCCCCCTGCTTTGTGTGCGGCGCGCGGATTGGCCGGCGCGCGCGGGGGCCGCGTCAGCGCCCGCGAGCCCATTCATCTGTGCACTTGGGCGTTGGACCCCGCATCTTATTAGCAACCAGGGAGATTTCTCCATTTTCCTCTTGTCTACAGTGCGGCTACAAATCTGGGATTTTTTTATTACTTCTTTTTTTAAAAAACTACACTTGGGCTCCTTTTTTTGTGCTCGACTTTTCCACCCTTTTTCCCTCCCTCCTGCGCTGCTGCTTTTTGATCTCTTCGACTAAAATTTTTTTATCCGGAGTGTATTTAATCGGTTCTGTTCTGTCCTCTTCACCACCCCCACTCCCCCCTCCCTCCGGTGTGTGTGCCGCTGCTGCTGCCGCCGCTGCTGCTGCCGCCGCCGCTACTGCTTGCCCCGTCGTTACACCAACCCGAAGCTCTTTGTTCCCCCCTTGGATCTGTTGAGTTTCTTTGTTGAAGAAGCCAGCATGGGTGCCCAATTCTCCAAGACCGCTGCGAAGGGAGAAGCCGCCGCGGAGAGGCCTGGAGAGGCGGCTGTGGCCTCGTCGCCTTCTAAAGCGAATGGGCAGGTAAATTCTACCTGTGGTTCTGGTTATTTCTTTGGTGTCTTTCTCTAGTCCCGACGCTTCCCCTTCCCTTCTGGTCGTGCCCGAAGCGCCTTCGGCGGAGAGGACCGTGACCAGATTCCAGTCTGAAAGTTGAATGGAAATCGATAGCTTAAATTGTCAATTTCTTATAGGTGGGGTCTCCCCCCACTCCAAAGTAGTGGTTCCCGGAGAATCCTGGTGAATTCTTGTGTAGACGGGAGGAATGAATGATAAATCGTCTAAAATGGCGTGTTTGGAGCTTGGCAGAACGTGACTAGCTAGGTGCTACCCCACACCCCCGCACCCAGCCAGGTTGCATTTGTGTTTAGTGGGCACAAAGGTATTTGAGTGTCTCTCGTGTTTGTTGTCGAGACTGGGTCGCCTTCAAGATTTCTGAACTGGTGTGATTGTGTATGTGGGTAGGGAAGGGCGGGGGGAGGGCGAATAGGGATGGCGGTGGAGAAAGGCGAGGAGGGAAGAAGGGCTGTCTTATTGTATGCCGAGGCGGCGTGCCCCGGGTTCTTGGAAAGGTTGCTGGCTGGCTGGCTGGAGCTGGGCAGAAGGGTTTCACTACCTTTCGGTGGGCTTTTCCCACTGTTCTAAATCTTTATTCGTAGTTGTCTCTGGAATTACACACCCATCTGACTTTTAAATGGTCTCCCTAGTGTGGGAAGACTGTGGGTCCTTGAAGAACCTGTCCAGATGGTCAACCAGAGGCAGTTCTTGTGTTTCGGTCGAGATTGTTGCTGTGCGTGCCGCCTGGACCACTGCGGGGGCTGCCCCTGCGATGCCCGAACCCAGGAGGATGGCTACGGTTGGGTGGGCCCGAGAGGTCGGCCAAGGGTGGCTGCTTCGCAAACACCGGGCACCACCACGCCTCTTTTCCTAGAGCAGAGGCCGTGTTGCTTCGGCGGCAAGCTCTGCCAAGAGGCTTTGAACCCGTTAAAAATGCAAAACGAGCCGCCTGGGCGCGCCCGGGCTTCGCAGAATCACTGGCGAAGGTGGGCGTGGAAGAAGAGGCGAGACCTCTGAAATAATCGGTTTCCCCCTGCCTTGTTAGTTTTATGCAGACTAGGATGCCACCTGAGCTTTGTTTGCGGACTCCGCGCTGCGCTATCCGGGCTTGGGGGCGCCTTGGCTAGCGGGCAGGGCCCGACCCGGCAGGGCGGGGTGGCCCGGCCGCCCCGCCCCTCCGCGCCCGCCTGCGCCCCGCTCCGCGCCGTGGAGCCGCAGCGCCCCCTGCCGACCCCAGGCCCTTGGCGGGCGTAGGGCCTTTGCGCGCGCAGCCCAGGCACTTCTGGCTGGAACGCTGGGATCCCCCTGGGAGTTCTTGGTGTTTTGAAGGCGCCTTTAGAGTTTAGGGAGAAAGGGGGATGTGTAACCTAGGCGCAGATCACCCGCTCCGGCTCTGTGCCTCCCTCCAAAGGGCGTTTGGCGTATCATATATTACGTGACTCCTTTATCCCAAAGCCCTTGAGGCAAAGGTTGGAATGGGTTACCCTTTGCTTTCCACGTTTCAGACTCGGCCCTTTTAAGGTCTCGGGGGCATTTATTGCGTAGTCGAGGCTTCCTCAGTTCCTTTAGACATCCCAAACAGCACTGCCCCCAGGTCTTCGAGGAACTCTCCTCTGGGCATCCAATACCGCCTCCCCATGAAGGAGAAGGTCTCCAAAACCAGAGGGGCCCCGGGGGACGCTAGTCCCTCCCGGTCCTGGAGTGGGGGCGGGGATGACAGGCCCAGGCCCCCTTCAGTGACCTCCCGCTTTCTCTGCCCCGCAGGAAAATGGCCACGTGAAGGTAAACGGCGACGCTTCTCCCGCGGCCGCCGAGCCCGGCGCCAAGGAGGAGCTGCAGGCTAACGGCAGCGCCCCGGCCGCCGACAAGGAGGAGCCCGCGGCCGCCGGGAGCGGGGCGGCGTCGCCAGCCGCGGCCGAGAAAGATGAGCTGGCCGCCGCCGCCCCCGAGGCCGGGGCCAGCCCTGCGGAGAAGGAGGTCCCCGCGGAGGGCGAGGCCGCCGAGCCCGGCTCGCCCACGGCCGCGGAGGGGGAGGCCGCGTCAGCCGCCTCCTCGACGTCTTCGCCCAAGGCCGAGGACGGGGCCACGCCCTCGCCCAGCAACGAGACCCCGAAAAAAAAAAAGAAGCGCTTTTCCTTCAAGAAGTCTTTCAAGCTGAGC